TATATACATATATAAGATTTATTGAACTTAATTGATATAATTTTCAACCATTTATTAAATAACGATTCTTATGTTTGTCTATAATTACAACAAAAGCCTGTAATTTATTCTTTAAAGATTGAGTGAAATATTTGATGGAAAATTAGAGAGACATAAGAACTGGTACTTTACTGTATATAATAATTCAAAACAGGTCTTACAATATAGTAAGACTAGAGTATTATGATTGGGATGAATGTGTAATAATAGCACTTAATTTACTCATAACTATCTGAAGGCAACCTCTATCTGGAATATGAATCCAGAATCGAGTAATGCATTCACGCATAGACTGTTGACTCGCATCAACAAAAATATAGCCAAATATATGTCCGATCCGTATATATAATCGTGAGAACCAAACGAATATATGTATATATGGGCTGTTTATACCCCGAGGTATTGTATCACAGGCTCATCAATAATGTGTTGTTTAGAAATTCATAATAATATCAAACGATGGCTTATATACATAGAGCCCGCATGTAATCTATATGAATGCTATAAGACTCTTAACTGTAAACCCAAAAACTGATTACAATTTGCATAATAGTAACAAAAGATAAACATTATATTCATAAATGTTTTTCTCCTTAACATTACGTAAAGATTCGATAATTTCTATTATTTTAATTTTATATCTCATTATTTGTTACAGCGTTTCGAAAACATGATTTGGCGCCTGAGGTTCCGATCCCTCACTTTGGCTTCTCTAAGGCATGTATAATTTGACCAAATATTTTGTCATTTAATCGTTTTGTGATAGTTTTTGCAATCATTTATTATTCAATCGATTCTATGTAGACATAGCTCTAAGAAAAGTACAATTTATTAAATTCTCTTTCATTTATAAGAAATGATAGGAATGTAATAATAATAATATAATTAATAAAATTATTCAACAATAAGTTCAAAGAGGCGACAAAAAGCTTGACATAAATAATATAAACTGACATTACATTAGGCTAGAAATGAAAAAATTTTAAATAGTTAATTATAGAGCAGTTATGTTATGACATCCCATATATTTATATTACGGCAGAGACTGTACTTTCATAGCACTGTAATTATGAATGCAATAATAAATTAAATGTTTATTGCATTGATTATAAATAAAACTTGGTTTTTGATGGACAAAATTATATCAATTACTAATTGCAAACACTTTAATGTTATTGACTCTTATAAGAGTCGCTCGCAATACAAGTGCTTCTGTAATGTCATTGAGAATATGTTTTGCAAATAAATTGAAAGCTCTATTGACTCTCAATTGGTATAACTATCGGTCTGTCATATCAAGTATGTTGAGAGCCGGCAAACACACCAATCAAGCCATTCACTCATTCATTTGGGGTTTTCTTTAAACAAGAATTCATTGCAGAAAAAGTTGATTTTAGGAATGAATCCTTGAAAGCGATAATTTAATTAAAGAATAATTGTTTTTTTGTAAATGCATATTGATGGTTTTCATAATTACTAATGTCTGTTTGCATTGACTGGTTTAATAGGCTTTGAGTGGATTCCTTATGATGACAACACAGAATGGAAAACTGCTTTACATATCAGACAATGCGGCAGAATATTTGGGACACTCTATGGTAAGTGGTTTTTATTTGAAAATTTTAATCAAATGTTTAGACATTCATCCATTATATGTGATAATTACACGTATGGCTAATGAATTCTATTACTAACTTAAAAAGTAAAGCAAAATGTTTAAGAAACTCATGATTCAATTCATTGGCACCAATGATAGCACTGTTAGTATTAATAGCACCGAAAGATGAGTTTTTAATACATAATAGCATTGATTTAAGCAAAAGTGATGTGCGCTGAGAATGTAAAACCAAATCCGCATACCATAGGCAGGTGGAGCCGACCCTCTCATGACAAATACCCATTTCGTGAGAGTTTGTGAACTCCAGATCTTGACTCTCGAGCGCCAGTCTTGCGCTGCCGTCGCCACAGTCGGCATAGAGTCGGTCCTGTGTTTCCACAATTGCTATCATATTCTCGATAATGAAGGGGAAAGCAATTCTGGGAGTTATCGCCTCCACTATAAGCCAATCTGGTTGTGATCCCTGGCCTGTGATGTGGTTTTGGTTGGTTGGCTAATGTTTAAGCACATCCTATAATGAGCTCATGTCTACTTTGCAATTATAATTGAAAAGGGGAGGAAAGCTATCGATGTTTTGATAGTTAAATGGCCTCACGATTTGTCTTATAATATATAACAAACCATAGTATGAATACTGCTTTAGTGATTGCAATGGATGGCAATATAGGTCGTCATAATATGTTACGTGTGTGGCGTCAATGGCGTCAACACTAGATTTAGTGAAAGTTATTATACATTTGCCTTAAGACTATGCCTCACATCTCAAGCCATCCAATGATGAGTTACATAATCAGAGGAGAAGTGTTTACTAAGTATTTGCAAAAATCGTCTCTAATCTGAGCGCTGCTACTGTTTATGCTATGCTATGCTCTGGTGCTGTGTTTTAGGTCCCGGAACTGCTTGCCCTCCAAAGGTCGCTAAACACTCACCATTTATGATACAAATAAGTTATCCATTTATATAATACAATATTCCTCGCAAAACAATGTCGGTCTACGCTTTAAATGCTTTATTTCACGAATTAAACACTAAAAATACTGTAATTGCATTGAATATTGCATTATGTTATACAAAGTTTATTGTTTAATATATTGTATCTTTCCATCAAATGATATTCACATCCATTATCATAACAAAGGGCAGAATAAATATATCGTTTAAGACATTCTTGTTTATGCATTCAATTGCATTCACATCTAATATAACTTTGGTTTCAATTATAATTTTAAAAAATGCAAATACATTATCAATCATTGTATGCCTTGTAATGGTTTTGATTGCAAACGACAAACAATTTAACTTAACTTAATTGAGACCTAACTATGTAACTATACATACACTAGAGTTTACTTACACTTTGCAAAAGCTGTCAAACGTTGAGACGTTGCATATTTGCAGTGATTTATTTGTTTCATAACATACGAAACCTAAGCTAATCGGTGCCACAAATTCAATCAATATTTTAATTTCTAATAAGTTTTTTATGATATGTATTAAGCGTTTATTATAGATTACATACAAAAAGCGGACGACAACCGGATTTTTTGCTTTGATCTTAAAAAACAAATTGCTTATAGACTTGAGTCTTGAGATTCTGCTTTCATTTTCAAGGACAGCATTCACTCTCAATCCATCCAAACTATCACTTCATTTATTTGTTGGCTATTATGCTATCAATTAATAACTTAAGCAAAACACTTATTTTAATGATAGTTTGCATTTGCTATTCTAATTATATGTCTATTTATTGCATTTAATGTAATATTTCATTAATATTAGTCCGTTTTCTATTAAATTCTGTATAAATTCTTCATTAATGTAATGCATATTATTGTTTGCAATCATAATAATTATAAAGTGAAAAATATTTGCAACTATTTATATGCAAATGATATATACAAGTGAGTAATAAAAGCAGTAGTTAGTGGGATGTCCCTGATTAGTGTTATATATGATAGAAATGCATATAAAATGTTATAAAATAAATAAAAACCAAATATTTTGCATAAAGCCTTAAGTATCGATATAATGAATCAATTAAACGGTTTTTAATGATTTTTGGTTTTGCTTTATATGTTATATTTGCTACTGGATTACAGGAGAGGTGGGAAAGTCCTACCAAATGATTGTATGGTTTTATTAAATGCAAAAAAGCTGCAGAAGAAGCTAATTGTTTGTTACAATTTGTTGGCCGCACCTCACAGTCAAATGGGATGATAGTCTCAAATATAGCTCAACTCTGTGCTAACTGTTGAGGCAATACCTGTAACTTCCATATAATGCTTAATACACTACAAGTGCTACACTTTTTTTTGGGTGTGGGTCCCAAAGAAAACCAGTGTTGAATACATAAGTTGGTGTTAGACCCCTATGTCTATACTAAAAAACATATAAATAAAAACATATACTTATTATACGATTCACTGCTACTGTATTTGACTGATTAATAGCTCAAAATGCGGAGAAAACTACTTTCTCTGAACTTAAGCCCAGAACCGATGGCTCCGAGAGTGAGACGGAGAGAGTGACAGATATTAATTCAAAGCATAGTTTTGCGCACATTTTTGTCTAATTTCACAATTAAATTAATATAAATTAATGAATAATATATTTGATGGCAATTTTGACATTTATTCCTTAGCGCCAGAAAATGTTTGGCAACTAATCAAAGACTGACTAATAGTGTGAGCAATTGCTATCCCATACCAATACCCGGGCCTTTAAATTGCATGTAATAATCAAAAAGTTTATATGAGAAACACATTTGATTTGTTGCGCAGTGATGAGAGAGAGAGAGAGAGAGAGAGAGAGAGAGAGAGAATGTTTCTCATATAAACTTTTTGATTATTACATGCAATTTAAAGGCCCGGGTATTGGTATGGGATAGCAATTGCTCACACTATTAGTCAGTCTTTGATTAGTTGCCAAACATTTTCTGGCGCTAAGGAGAGAGAGAGAGAGAGAGAGAGAGAGAGAGAGCAGACTTTAGTTAAAAAAGTTTAATAAGTTTAGGCAATCAGTGCACCGATAGCTTCAAGTGTAAGACTTATTGAATATGAGATGCAAGTAATATATCAGGCAGTGGTTGAGGCGCCGTTGCAAACCCGCCGACGCCAACAAATAGAGCTCCGGGTCTTATATATGAGTGAAGCGACTGAAAAACGGGCCGAAACTACAAATTAGGCCTCTCTTTGCCTTCTCATGCCTTCTCTTTTGCTGCGGTTTCTGTACTAAACTCTTCTAAAAGAAGTCCGTTTCAGAAGCAGACATACAGTAAATCAGTGACTCGTATACAGAGTACTATCTTTTGCCAACTGTTCCCAAACTGTTCACTAATTTTTGTCCACTACTACTACTAATGCATACAATATATACCGATATTTGTTGAGCTCAACAATTACTTGAGTGCACCACTCATTTGATTATAGGTTAAGTAGAGTTGTAGACAATTATTAAGATTTGTTTTTGACAGCAGCCACTGCTGAGGTAGCACTTGGTTGAGAGCACCGGTAAGGTAGCACTTGTAGTATTGCAATTTTGACACTCGCCATAATTACAAATTCCGCTATTTTAATGATCGCTGACTTATCGCTATTATTACACATCAAAAACATAACATTTCACTAAACACACAGTCCTTCACCGGATCCGACAGAACATAAAAATTTTACACTAATATTCCGAAACATTTTCTATTACTTTGTAATTCAATTTTAATACACTTATAATCAATGGTTTGAAGATAACGTTCAGTCAATTGTAAAACAATTTTTACTCTATTGTCTCAATAGGAAGACCTTCTCATTCACGGCGATAGTGTTTACGATATCATTGAAAAACAAGACCACCAGACAATCCAGACAGAGCTGATGCGAACTCCAAACCCTCTAAGCTTAGCACCGGATACACGAATATTCTTATGTCGGATGAATGTCTCGCGTAATGCGAGGCGACAAATGAGATTTGGAGACCAAAAAGTATACTATTTCTTCATTCACTCCATATATTGAAAGAAATGCAAATATTAAACAGAATATTCTCATTGATTTACAGGTAGTGCTAATTGAGGGACATTTTGTTAGTTTCCTACCACTTTGCAGCCGTAATGAGCCCGTGTTTTTGGCCACCTGTACACCCGTTGCTATGCCTGAGACCAGGGAATGTGTAGTACAGGGAAGCACTAATGTCTTCACATCAATTCATTCAATGGATATGAAATTTATTCATTTGGACAGAAAGTAAGTATTAACGATGCATTTGTATTTGATTTATAGCGTGAAAACCAATTGAAAAACAATTATATTGTATTTTAAAATTGTTTTCGTACAATTATATTAATAATTTATATAAACATAAAACTAATTAGTAGTTATGAAGATAGAAATATATAATGTATTTGATTATACAATGTAAGATGCAATGCATTCGGATAATTATTCTTCAGACATAAGAACCCCTCCGAAAACTTATTAAAACAGATGTCTGTCCTTCGGTTTGCTGTTAAGGTCAAGGGTTTTAAATTGAGTTTAGTTTTGAGAGTATGAATGGTTTGTTGGCGTAAAACCATATAAACTAAATCTATATAAGAGATCGTGACTCAGTCTCCGCGCTCATCAATATTTGCCTTAATTTTAATGAATAGCTATCGGGCCGTGAGATATGGATAGTATGGATACTAGAGTTGATGGGAATGCATGCGATACTGCAATACCTGTGCAGTGATGTTGTTTAAGGTATAGAAAATGAATTTACGTTTGCATTCACTCATCACTAGAGTCTCTATTTTTCGGGAATTCCCGATTTTCCCGAATTTTCCCGATTTTGGCACTTTTTGAGAAAGATTTTCTATCAAAATACTAATGAATTTGCTCACAGAATACCAAAACTTGCTGCAATCGGGCCGTGAGATATGGATAGTATGGATACTAGAGTTGATGGGAATGCATGCGATACTGCAATACCTGTGCAGTGATGTTGTTTAAGGTATAGAAAATGAATTTACGTTTGCATTCACTCATCACAAACTCAGTCCACACCCGCCTTCACCTCTTATGACACCTGACCTGATGGGTGTTGGAGTGGAGGATAGGCTTATGATATATAGAGAGAACCACATCACAGATGTGTTGTTTTGCTTTCATTTTGTGGTTAATGTGATTGCAATATGTATTGAATAGAGTAAAAGTCAAGTCATGACTTGGGATCAAAGTAGAGGTCATGAGGCGGACTGAGACACAAAATGTACAATATATGTACACTATATGTACAAACTTTGCAAACCGTCAATTTGGCCAAAAGAGAAAGGCATTACTGCATCGTGTCGTACATCAACATACCTGTGCCAACACAGTGTACAGTGCAGTACATTATACAGAGTATACACTATCTTTCAGACAGACTATTGTGTCGAACAAAACACAACACAATTTAAGCAAAGCATCTATTTTTCAACCATTATGTTTTACTCATGAAATTATGATTCAGTCTATTATACAGTACTGTATTAGACCACAGATTTAGGCACTTGTACTACACATAGTCTTCATTGTTCACAAACATTGCTTTCAGTGGGAGTGGACACAAGTGTATGATTGTATGAACACAAGTGAACACAAATCCCGACATTGACTGCAATTTACAGAATATTTCATATATTATTAGAAAAGAAGTCAAAACTTAAAGAAAACACTCCTTTTATTTGTAAAACAGCGGAGAATTTCATTTGGGATACAATAAGTCGTCAGTTCAGGGCCTGTCGTGGTATGACTTCGTTCATTGGGAACATCTTAGAGAAGCACAATCTAAACACAGACTAAGTAAGAGATCACTAATTATATGAACATTTATACACATATAAGACACGGACGCCGACGACAGTTGTCTCACATGTTTCCTATAATTGCCTTTCAGTTACGCAATCAGAACAGGAGAGGTCTTGTATTCTTCTCTTAAGATTACAGACTAACGCCAACTCTTGGATTTGGGTTCACGTCGTCCTCCAGGTTAAGGACAGTAATGACAGTTCACAGCAACCCGTCATTGTCTGCACGAACCAAGTGTTGAGGTCTGTCTACCAATCCTTTTGATCCATTTATCATTGAAATGAATACTAAATTTGAATCAATAATTTGCATGCAGTGAAAGAGAGGCGACAGTAATGCGAGCGAACAGTTGGTTGTATCAGTTTTATTCACTTCACTCTAAAATGCATTATGGATTGGCATATGAGGCCCACACCACACGACTCCCGACTTATTATCCAACGCCGACCCCAACTGTCATGAGCCACGCTTACCATCACCACCACAATCACCATCACTCACATCCCAGCCCCGTCTCAGCCGGTGGTGGCGATGCGGCCGCCGTCCCAATACATTCAGTCCCATATCACATACATTCGGCGATCACACCCTTGAATGGCACACCAGGACATCGACACCCACATCACCCTCAGGCTGTTCTCCAGTGCTCACCTCAGGCCGGGTCTCTACCCTATCCCAGTATTGTCGCCGCTGTCAATGCCAGCGCACAGACCATTACAGACAATGAGGTACACAAACACACCAACACTGCTAAGAGATCCCATTCGCCACAAATGACATCACAAACAGAACAGACACACGAAGAGACAGAATCTCCAGAACCACCGGCAAAGCGTCTGAGTTTGAATCACCACAACCTCCCGCCCCCGCCGTCGTCGTCATACCATCACCCGAGAGCGTCGACCTTTACGTACCCGACATCGATGTTCGGCACCGGAGGCTTCACAGCTTCCTCTATGACCAGCGTTTCAGAGTTGGGATCAGTTGTGCCGAGTTATTACGGCGGCCCACAAGTACTCGCATCTGTTCCCTATCACACACAGATTGGACACCACTTCAGAAATCAAAGCAAAATGTCTCTCTTCGATGAATCAGACAATTGTTTTGACCAAACAATCGGCGCGACTAATGCTGAAGATGTCTCTAATCTCATAACATTTTCATCGCCCGCTTATCTAAAGTACACGTCAGGACTGATGTCATACCCCTATCCGGACCTTCCGGACAGAGATTTAGAAAAAGTTCGATCTCCTGAGTCGATAGTGTCGACCACTTCTGATTACGGAAGTATGACATCTCAGTCGCCGCCCTCAGCCTTCGACAAACCCTATAAGAAAGACAGCTTAGCTCTACTCACGAGTAATACCATCTCATATAACACTAATTCCAACATTAATGCTAATAATACTGCAAATAATTCACAACAATTATATCAATCATTGAAAAGCAATTGGGGTTCGACTCCGATATATACCGATCTCTCCATTTCCCGTCCCTCACAAGTAATCCACAATCAAATGGATAAAGATTTAGAGGCAATGGACCACAGATTTACGTTCCCTAATGTTATTTGGGGCTATAATACGGATAACTCATCAATAAGTCAGTCCCTGAGCTCTGCCTTTAATATGGATACCAATTCTCTACAACTCTCTCAGCAATACTTCAATGAATTGAGAAATAGTAAAAGCGATCAAATGAATCAAAACGATGGCACACACGCCACACATGGGGCACATATACCACATCCGACAAGTCTAGTCAGTGCACCACATAGTGGTCAGGAGTCGGACCTTCAGCCACAAACCGCTACCACAGCAGACATTCCATCGCAAAGCTCTTCTCCCGTATCGACAGAAACGGTATCAGCGGTTGAGATGAGCTCATCGTCTCATGGCGTGGGAAGAGCCGTAGGCTATGGCGGTATTAGTAAGGCTGAGAGGAGCACCGGAGCGACCGCCCAGGACTCTACCTGATCGCTATGGTATGCCTTCACTATATATACAGTATATTACATGTAAATCATGCGCTCTTTTCGCTAAACTGCATAACATTTGTGACGCAAATCTCATATATTGTTTGGTCCGCAAAACCACTCTTTCCCACTCTCTTTACACTCAATCACTGCACAAATTCAGTCAAAATTGAGTTTTACATGCAATTAACTTTCAGTGATAAACAAAGTTGCAATTTGTTTGCAAATATATCTTGTAAGCTATGATGCGATCAGTAATCCCTACTCACTATAATTCAGTCAAATATTTCTCAAATAGTCTTAAGGCTTAAGTGCATTGTATTGATATAATGTCTCAAAGTATTACATCAAAAGGTAACAGATTTGAGAGCATTTCAATGTTGATAGGCTTATCACAAGTACATTACGTTCAGCCCATTAATTAAAAGCCCTTCAAAATTAATAATGGAAACAATATATGAATATTTGTAAAGTTATTCTATTGTTTAATAGTAAGTCAATTGAATAACGATTTGCGGTTATATTGAGATATGTGTTGCAGTCATTAGTTATTACAGAAACGATTCAAACATTTGAATTGATTGAATGCAAAAAAGCATTAAAACTAACAGTAAATAACTATCGGTTCAGAAGTAAGAGTTTAGTGGTTAGAGTGGTTTGGGTTAATAGTTGTATAGCAGTAGTGCTGGTGAAGTAGTTGTAGTGGTTTTGTGTGTATGGTTTGTATGCGTGAAGAATGTAATTAACGTGTGGTTTTGGCGAATGGATCGGTGAGTATAAGCGGCTCATCAATAGATACACAATAAAGTACATGAACTCCACTCTAAACAAGAGCCCAATTCTGGCCTCTAAGCGGAACACAACTGACAAACACACACAATATCTATGCACTCAATGCACTCGTACTCCATATATACCGATACTCCTTATGAGTAATGGATTTCATTTAAATTTAACTTTAATTTATTTTTCCTTTTCTTTCTAAAACTAATGAAAATAGTTTTGAAATATTTAGAAATTTATTTTTTCTTTCAATTTCAGTCTCGACTCTTGACTGGTCTCTGGTCTCGATTGAAGAATACAGTGTAAGAAGAAGAAGAAGTATACGATAATCAGAATCTAATTGTTATTTCGTGTAATTATTATATTACACATACGTTGGTTCACGAGAGGACCGGATGGAAAGTACGGCACATTGCCGTCAGTTATATATATTATGTATGAAAATGCTATGAAATTGCATTTCTTACAAAAGATACAAATTATTATATTATGGGTTATAATTATATTCGTAGACAATATTTTTATTTTATTATTAATATAATATAATATTTTCCCAAATTATTGGTTCTCTTAAAAGCACTGCTTCTTATACATCATTCTATCGACAAAAAGCTGTTTTATATTTTCCTAAACTTTAATTTTTGGCAAATTTTCCCTATTATTTGCTAATCTATATAAAGCTTAAGGCAATACACAAGAGTGTCGTAAACTTCATAAAACATATTCTCTGGTCTATTAACGAGGGCTCTCTCTCTCTCTCTCTCCCATAAGGTTGACGTCGAGACTGTGCCAACACATACACACATTCCTTATTATAACTATTATTATATTACATAAACTTAAATAAAAATTAAATAATTTGTGAGAGAAGACGGGAGACAAGAGTCCTTAGAGTAAAGCATAGGATATTTGTGACTAAAATATACATTACATATGATATGCTATTGTCGGTCATTAGTGCCAATGAACTCGACCTCTGCTGTCGAGTCCAATAATTACTACACTATTGAGTAATAAATAATATCACATTATTTGTTACATTCATATTATCATTATTATTATACACTATATTTCGTTCCGTATTTTCATTATTATTCCCATTATTATTATATTGTGACGATAAGTGCCTTCAGTATTCAGTACCCGGATCTCTGCTAAAAACCATATTGTGCTTCTTATTCTCTCTCTCTCTCTCTCCTCCCTCTCTCTCTCTCTCTCTCTCCTCCCTCTCTCTCTCCGTTAGTCTTTATTCCATATAAAACTCCAAATATTATTGATATCAAAGAAAAGAGAAAAAGTTTTACAAAAAGTGCCGAAATTTTGTGCTTTCAATGCATTTATAGTTTACTGAAAAACGTTTGCCTTTAAGTGTTGATAAGAAACCAAACAATACATGAATTTCTCAAAAATTACACAATTTCTCAATTCTTTATACGAATCATTTGAGCCAAACATGTAGTTTAGGAGACGATTATATGTTACTATTTTCTCAGCTATTCTTCAAACTATTCAAACATTTTGCAGACAATATTCACTCTTTTTCAATATCATTATGTAATTTGATTTTTACAAGAATTCAACAAAATTTGTGATATTTTTAAAAATAATAAAAACGAACTTTTATAATGTATTACTTTTTATATTTAATGATTTTATTACACATTATATTTGTGCCATTAATTGTTCAATCATTTCATTAAATTATTTCCAATAAAATGCAATTCAAAATCCAATGAATGTGTCATTTAATCATATTTGACGGCAACCGTAAGAAAGCCGGTGTGACCCGTGCCCTGGTTTGGCAAATACGTCAATACGTGATCAGTGCTTATCTTCTCCATAACGGAATCGCTTTTATCGTTTAAAATGCTTTCGGTTTTCACTTTTTTAGCTACACTTTCATCCGATTTCTCATCAATTGATTCACTTATAACAGCATTTTGTTCGCTATAGTTCTGTATATAGAAAAAGCAATTAATAATCAAAACAAAGATAAAAAGTGAATTAATAATTACGGTCTTCGATGAGAAGGGATACAAAGGCATGGATTGAGTCTTCACTTCATAGGGTCTGAGAACGCATTCATAAGTGTCGACATCGAAGAAGTGGTTGTCATAGAGCGCCGCACAGGTCTTCTGCACCTGTTCTACACACGGAGAGAAACAACATATTCTTCCACCTAAAAAGTATTCAATTCAATTGGTAGAGTACATCATATGTATAATCCGTAAATAGTCATCAATAAATATCTAATAAACACTTTGATCATCTAATAAACAACAAACAAATATCACTATAATATAGTACACAGTACTGTGCATTGATTTTAGTGTTGAATAATTTTTTCGGGTTATAAACAGATTTTAATTTTGACAAAACATTAATTCTTATTTTGAATGTTTGTTCAACACATGGAAACATGTAAAGCCTGAGGCTATCAAATATGAAATAGTGGTCTCAATGTTGAGATGAGTTGAATACATGATAGAGTATATTGGATGCGAACCAGGATCTAAGAAAGTGACCCCAAACTCGTAGAGCCAACTAAAGGCATAAATGGCCCGAAGGCTCACTAAATTGAAAGCAAAATTTTGGCTCAATTTTGGAACCTTTACTTTTCACTAATTCTTTAATAGACTATGAAATAAGAATTGTCTGTCATTACAAGCAGTAAAAAACAATAGGTTTGTATTGTTTTGTTAACTTGGTAAAGTAACTCAAACCCTTCTCTCTCTCTCTCTCTCTCTCTCTCTCTCTCTCT